CCCCGCTAGGCATTGGGGAGTCCCATAGTTAGCAAGATGCCTCCTGCCCTCAATAAGCTTGTTGGGGTGACAGCCAAGAAAACATATTATAATGCCATTGAGAAGTACTGTAAAAGAAAAACATATGCAGTATTATGGGACCTTGGAGACAGGAGTGAGCAATTCTGTAAGAGGTGGAAAACAAGAGAAGAGGCATCAATTAGCTGGGGTCTTCAAGGATGAATTGATGTTTGCTGGTGGCAGGGGAGTCATTCCAGGTAGAGGACATGGCATGACCAGTGGTCCAGAGCTGTAAAACATTGACTGATTTTGGCAAGAAGTTCTTGTTCTCCCAGATTGTAGAGAGGAATGTTGATGCAAGTTGATATTTTGAGATTTGAAAGAAAGAATGGAACTAGGTTGTGAAAAGGCTTGAACGGCATTCTTAGGAGTCTGGACTTCAGCTTAGAGGAAATGAGGTGTTCCTGAAAGATTTTAAGTTGGGGAGTGATAAGGTTGGATTATTGCTCTAAAAAGTTAACTCCAGCTGTAGCGTGGAGAATGAACAGGAGGAGAAATAGCCTGGAGACAGGAAGACCAGTTAGAAGGCGACTGGATAGATCCCCTTGTCTTTCCCACATTCCTCCTAATATTTTTAATACACAAAGACTGTAAACTGTAAGCAATATTAAGGGATACATAATGCCTTCCTTTTTAAGGGGTTCTGAAATTAGTGGAACACTTGAGTCTCATCCAAGCAGTGTAATAATATAGATTATAACCTCAAATGCTTAATTTATGTACTTTCAGAGTGCTTCATTATAAGAAAAATGAATCATTCCACAAAGGTAGCCATCACTGGTGTTCAGAAATCATTTCATCCAAGGTTGGTAAAAGGCCACAAAATATCTTTGTCAAATACTGAAGAGACAAAGACAGTATCACTGTAAGTAGCCAGCCACCTTTCTCACCTTGTATCATTTTCTGCAACTAAATTGTTTACATACAGTATTTACCTAGCTAACATCAAACACTTCTTATTTTGTAAATTATAGGGGTTTTTGTGTGTTTTAAAATTACTTTCAAATTGAATAATTATTATAATTATAGTATTTCATAATTTACAAAGCATATTAATGCACATCTCTTTGATCCTGACAACCCTGTGAAGCAGTCTTATTATTACATTTTATAAGTGAGGAAGCCACAACTGGGAGAAGGTAAGTGGTTTGCAGAAGGCTAGACAGCTAATAAATGGCATTGGCTCAGATTCAAAGGCTTGTTTCCATACGCCAGGCCTTTTCTACTCTGCGCCTTGTAGTCTGCATTTTGCCAGCCAATGGTGAAGTTACACAACACCTCTCTTTGCGCTTTAGCCTGTACTGGGTAATGATGGGGTTGGGGGGTTGGGGAGGGGGAGATCCCTGCTACCAGTTAGTGCTGGGACATGATCAAGGTAAAGTAATTCCCTGACCTGGCTGGGATGACCCTGGTTCAAGCGTAGATCACAGAGGAGTTTCTTTTCCAGAACATGGTCATCTGCTCCCAGAAGAGAATTGGGCCTACTGTAAACTTCAGCGATTCCACATTCTATTTTCTTAGCACTGGAACCAGTTGGACGGTGTTTTTAAGAACTAACTGCAGCGGAATCATTTTAGGTCATGGATGTTTTTAGAAAACAAATTTGTCTCCTCACACGTTATTTATAATATATGTGCCTTTTGATGATAAAGTTTTAGCCAGGATGTTTTTTTAATCTCAAGAGAAATATTCTCAAGTATTTCATATCCTCATTCTAACTAGATTCTGCAAATGACCAGTTCCAATTACCACATCCAAATGTTCCTCATTAGGTCAGCCTTAGGGTGGGGGGTGGGGAGGTGCAGAAGAAGGAAGCATAAATTCAGAGTTCCCCAAGATTTTAGGAAAATGAAAGCGACTTCACAAATCTTAACCCCTTTTTCCCCCCCTCTCAGAACTGATGAAGATATTTCAGCTCTAACAATACAAAGAGCCTGGCTATCTCATATGGACAAGACAATATTTCAACTCCTAAAGCACACAATTTGTGCAGCCGTATGTATTTTGTTTTGTGTTTTCACTGACAGATTTAATTACTTATCAAGCTAAAATATCTGTTAAGTAAGGATAAAGCATGTAACCTTTTTTTTTTCTCTCCAATTTAAATCCAATATTATTGCATAGGGTTCTGAGATTGCTTCTTTGATTAGCCCTAAATGGATATTTCTGGATTTATTTTTAACATAGGTGACTGTTACTTCTTTTTCTGAAACCCACATGATATTTATTGTAAAATTCGGTTTCTTATTTGAAGATGTGAGACAGTGATCATCCAACAAGAAAAATCTCTGAATGAAAAGTGCCCTCACCTTCCACCCAGCAATTTCATTTCTAGGACTCTCTTCTGCAATATATGTACCATTTCACTGCAGCATTGTTTGTAACGGCAAAGAAAGTAAACCATATAATGTTCATCCATATGATGCTGGGTAAATAAGTGTTGGTGCTATCCTGGTGTTAAACCTCAAAGCTTTGCCTATGGTTCTGCAGTAGAAAGATGGCTAAGATATTGTGTTAATGAAACAGGCAAGTGCAGAAGAATATGAATAATATGGTCCTCTTTGAGTAAAAAATGCATACCCCCCACACCCCCCAAAAAACAACTCTGGCAAACCTGGCAGAATATTAGGACTTCCTACATATAGTACCAAATATTCTCCTAATAAAATCACTCATTATGACAGTAGTCTATATTTAGTAATAGTCACATTAAGGGGATTTTAGCCCCTCTGAAAAAGTCATAAAATCTGAGCAGTGTGTATACTTCCTCACCATCTGACCCACAGACCCATTTGTGATGTCAGTGAAAACCCACCCAGGTCAACTTGGGACACTGCAGGTTCATTGTCCATTGTCTTCCCGTATAGAACTTGTATTTAACTATCGTAATACTGGTTTTGTTATTTTAGATTCTTTTAGTAACAGAAAGAAGGAAATGAATAATTTTTAAAAATCTGTTATCCTAATGCTTCAAGTTACTACCTTACATTAATAATGCTTTGTCATTTTAAAAGCCCTTTGGTGTACATTTTTATGTGATTGTCATAGGCATAAATGTTGGGCAGGGTCATATGGGGGGAGAAGTGGGGACTTCAAAGTCAAACAGATCAACATTTGAATCCTGGCTTCCCCACTTACTACCTGCATGCCTTTAGATAAGTTGCAGACACTGCCAGAGCCTCAGCCTGTTCATTTGTAAAATGGGAATGATAATATTCAAGGACTATTGCTGAGCCGTAAGGATTCAATGAGGTTATGCATATAAGGCACCTAACGCGGTATGTGGTATATGAAAAGTACTTAAAAGCTAGGAAGAGTACTATTATCGGCCTCATTTTACAATGATTCATTCAGTATCAAATGGTTGTTAAGCACCTGCTGTGGTCCAGGCCCTGTCCCACATGCTGGGAATACAGTGGGAAAGAAGGACACGGCGCCTACCTTTATTAAGCCTACAGTCGAGTAGGAGATAAAAAGTTTATAGTTAATTACAATACCTGGAGAGAACAGTGCCTGGGGTCTTGAGGAGGAACACACACCCGAACTGGGAGGCCAAAAGCATGAAGTCATTGGCTCCAGGCTACAAAATTTATCTTCTTAAGTCCTCATAACTTCTCAGTATATAATTCCAAAGCAAATGCGTTCTTATTTACATTTATTACGTGAAGCAACTGAGATGTAAGTGGAGAAGCCAAGACTAGAACCCAGGTCTTCAGAACTCCAAGTCTGGTGTACTGTTCACGTTATGCCGCCTCTGTTATTCTCAGTCAATTGCATCTGGGCAGGGTATCACCTTCCATTTATGGCACCATCATCTGTTTCAGGAATATTGTGTGACACATGAAATACTGAAGAATGTTTGCCCCTTAGAGGCCAAGCTTGTTAAAGATCCTAGCATGACGTGTAAAGTTAGATTCAGGTAATGTTTCTACGCTGATTTATTTCAAGAAGTACTTGGTTAATATGAAGAAATTTTAGAAATTTATTTTCTTAAGTCCTCATAACTTCTCAGTATATAATTCCAGAGCAAATGCGTTCTTATTTACATTTATTATGTGAAGAAACTGAGGCATGCATGACTCCTGGGCCAAACGCTGCCTTGAGAGTGGCTCTCACATCCCATGGTGTGTCCAGTCTGACACACATGAGAATAGTTGTGAGCACACACACGTAAATGTGGCTCTTTCATCTTCTGTAACCTATTTCATTACCATTTTGTTCTGTGCTCTGGCATAGCCTTTACTCTGCATGCAAGAAACTATGTAAACTATCTTAAGCACACGGGGGAGAAGTAACTGGGCCCCAAACCTGATGCCAAATGACACATTTTTGGTCTTATTTCAGATTTAGTGGTGAAACATTTCCACCTTTTATTGTGTTTAAAATTTTTCTACATACTGGAGGCCATGGTTACAAGTATTTCAGCGGAAAAAATATGTTAAAGCCGTCAAGTAAGGTGATGTTTCACGATGTACATTTTATATTATTTAGCTTCTTATATATCTTAACATCATAACATAGATATGTAGTATCTGGATTGCATTTAAGTATACGGACTAAGTTATTTTACCATTAAACATCCCAGTAGGCAGTTAGTATTTTTTAAGCATATGTTTCAAAGCATCTCTGTTTATTAGCTAAAAAAGATTTGGAATAATTACTATATAAGACCGTAGAAAATATCCAATGGTATTCTTTGTATTACATTTTTGGTTTGTTAATACAGGGGTGGACAAAAGTAGGTTAATAATAATAATAATACAAGAATAAACAGTACTCACAACTATAAACCTACTTTTGCCCACCCCTGTAATGGACTAAAGTGGCCAGTTGGTCAGGGCTTTAAAATTATGCACAACATTTGATGCAGTTTTGTCTTAATGACATTTTATCATTGTTTCTTCAATTCTGGTAGCATATTTAGAAAACCAGCGCTGGATTATTGGAAATGAACTTTTAAAATGTTTATCCTTTTTCATATGCGTTCTTATACTTTTAAGTTTCATGATTATTCAGCAAAATGTCTACAGCATAGGAATCCCCTGGGGATCTTGTTTAAACTGAACTTTCTGATTCAGTAGGTCTGGGATGGGGCCTCAGTCTACCCAGCTCCCAGGTGCTGCCACTGCTGCTGGTCCATGGATGACACTTTTTAAAAAATATATGTTTTTATTGATTTTTAGAGAGGAAGGGAGAGGGATAGAGAGATAGAAACATCGATGAGAGAGAAACATCATTGATCAGCTGCTTCCTGCATACCTCCTACTGGGGATCGAGCCCAAAACCTGGGCATGTTCCCTGACCAGGAATCGAACCAGTGACCTCTTGGTTCCTGGGTCAACACTCAGCCACTGAGCCATACCTGCCAGACAGTGAATCACACTTTTTATTTATTTATTTTTAAATGTCTTTATTGATTTCAGAGAGAGGAAGGGAGAGGGAGAGAGATAGAAACATCAATGATGAGGAGTCATTGATCCGCTGCCTCCTGCATGCCCCCCACTGGGGATCAAGCCCGCAACCCAGGCATGTGCCCCGACTAGGAATCAAACCACGATCTCCTGGATCCTGGGTCGATGCTCAGCCTCTGAGCCACGCCGGCTTAGCTGGACCACACTTTTAATAGCAGGGATCTACAGCACAGGTTTTTCTCCTTTGGCCCTTATATAGGACTATAAATGAGTAAAAATAAATGTGTACACTCTCATATTTAGCCTTTTATAAACCATAAATCAAAGGTTATTTTCCTGTAGCCTTCTGGAAGTGTTTTACATGAAAAGTATGGCCCATCTGAAATAATCAGTAATGGCATGAATTCAGGATAGAAGACCACACAGCCTGGCAGTTTCTGATCAGCTCTAGCCTGTGTGGCATTTATTCTCCGAAGAGTATTAGAAAAGGAAAAGAGACTGCTTTTCTCTGTTGTAAGGCTACGTCATAGAAAATGTAACTCAGTTTCAGAAATGTATCAAGTGGATTATGTGTTTTCATGTAGAATATGGTGTTTCAGAAACATTCATATTTGTTCATTTATATAGGATGACTTCAAATGCGAAAGTAAATGTTTATTCTACGTTCATACCACATTTATCTACAGAATGAGCTTGCTTAGAGTTCGCCTATAAAATAGCATCAGTTGCTGCTTTTCTGAGGTTACGTAATGGGGCCTTTCCAGGAACTGAAATTCTCCTGGGTCAGCTCCTGGAGGCCCCTACTGTCCCCAGGCTGGAGCAAACGAGAGCCTTGGACGCTGTGACTGGAAAGCGCTGTGTGTATATTAAAACTCATAAAAATGCTGTATAATAACTTAAAATTTTATTTAAATTACAAAGTAACTTTTTTAAAAGGAAATCACGCAGAGGTTTTTTTTAAAAAGGAAAGTATGCCTGCTCTGGCCAGTTTGGCTCAGTGGTTGGAGCGTCTGCCCATGGACTAAAGGGTCCTGGGTTGGATTTGGGCCAAGGGCACGTACCTCAGTTGCAGGCTCAATCCCCGGCCCAGGTTGGGACACATGTGGGAGGCAACCAATCGATGTCTCTCTCTCTCTCTCTCTCTCTCTCTCTCCAACTCTCTCTGGAAAGCAATGGGAAAAAATATATTCTTAGCTGAGGATAAAAAAAAAAAAAAGGAGGAAAAAAAATATGCCCTTCTGCATTTCTTCTCTGTGCTGCAACTTTCACCCTGGAGTGATTACTGTTAACAGTTTGCTGTGTAGCCTTCATTTTTTGCCCATGAAAATACACACACAAATATATTTTTTAAATTTTTTGTTCTTATTGTTCATTCAGCTTGAATTTTTCACTAAACATTATAAGGGTTTTAAATGATTAGGACATACCCAGTTTGGAGAGGATGTTTAGGGTTTCTTTTTCCCTTTAGTTTAACTTCAAAACAAACTCTGGTAACACTTGGATTAATGGTTGATAGAAGTGGAATTTTTCTCACTATAAGTTTACTCAACTCCTTTGCTCTTTGAATGTAGAAACTGTGTCTTTAGCAAACTTATCCAACTTTCCTAAGTTTACTTGTTTCTTAATATGAAAGAAATAAGTCAGTTTTAGTCCATTCAGATGTTTAATCTAAGTTCACTTACAAAGGAGGGGTGTTTCACAGATTGTTGTTGTTGTCCCAGCTTCTTTCTTGTTTTTATTGCCATTTCTAGTTTCATTTCCTTATCATTTTAAAAAATATGTCTTTATTGATTTCAGAGAGAGGAAGGGAGAGGGGGAGAGAGAGAGAGAAACATCAATGATGAGAGTCATTGATTGGCTGCATCCCGAATGCCCCCTGCTGGGGATTGAGCCCGCAACCCGGGCATGTGCCCTGACTGGGAATCAAACCTTGATCTCCTGGATTACTGGTCGATGCTCAACCACTGAGCCACACTGGCTGGGCTTCTTATCATTTTCCAATGGCATATTTCATATATTCATACACACAGAAAAACAAAAAGCAAAAACAAGTGAAAGGATGTAGAATAGCTTAACAAACTTTGGAGGAGAAGAACAGATTCAGAAAATTTACATTACCTGATTTTAAAACCTAAAAAGCCACAGTAATCCCGGCAGTGTAGTGATAACATAAAGAGAGACATGCAGATCAATGAGATAGAATAGAGAATTCAGAAATAGACCTACACATAGACAATCAATTGATTTTCCTCAAAGATGCCAAGGCAGTTCAAATGATGCTAGAACAATTGGATAGCCATGTGTACAAAAAAGAGATCTTGTTTCAGTTACCTACTTTGATGATCTATTTTCAGAGCAATGCTTATTTACAGAGGGTTGTCACTGTAGTTAGTCCACAAACTATATTTAGAATATTCTAAAGCCTTGCTACTCAAAGTGTGGTCTACAGACCCACAACACTGGCATCCCCTGGGACTTATTAACATGCAGACTCTCAGGCCCCACCCCAGACTCACTGAATCAGCAATCTGCATTTTAACAAGACTCCCAGGTGATTGTGGGCACAATATATTTTGACGAGTACTGTCCTAAAGGTGCCCCCACCATGGCCTGGAAAACTTCTGGGTAACTGACAATTCTTTTTTTTTTT